CCGAAAGGACAGATGTAAGATGGAGAGGGAAGGATGATTCGAGAGGACGAGGATAGCAACTCATAACTCTTCAGGATATCTTTGATGATGCTGCCTAGAAGCCTGAAGCTTCAAGAGGTTAGGGTGTGCATTTATCATATCCAACTCTTCCCTAACAGCTGCAGATGTGCTGCATCTGAGGTTAGACAAAGGAAAGCAAATGTTCAGGTGACTCAAAGTGCAAAATGTTGAGTTAGGATCTTTCCTTGGTATCTAGAGTCTTTAATTTATTATAAGATTGTAGGCTCATAGGATAATTCAAGTTGGAAGAGATGGCCTCCAGAGGTTATACAGTCCAACCTCCTGCTCAAAGCAGAGTGAGTTATAAGATCAGGCAAGGTTTACCTGCAGCCTTATCCAGATGGGTCTTGAAAATGTCCAAAGACAGAGACTGCACAGTATGTCTAGCCAACCTGATCTACAGCTTAACTGCCTTCAAAGGGGAAATGTTTATTTATGGCCAGTCTGACCCTCATGTTTCAATTGATGTCCACTCTCTCTCATCCTTCTACACTACGCACTGCTGTGAAAACCTTGCTCCATCTTCTTCAAAACCTCATAGGTATGAGAAGGCTGTTATTAGGTCCTTCCAGGTTGAACAAAGCTAGTTCCCTCAGCCTCTCCTCTAAGGACAGATGGACACAACCACTTTGGTGGCCCTCTGCTGAACTTGCTCCAGTTTGTTGATGTCTTTCTTGTACTAGGCCAAAACTGGATGCATTATTCCAGATTTGGTCAAGCAAGTGCTAAGCAGAGGAAAGATAATCCTTTTCCCTCAATCTGCTGGCTGTGTTGCTGTTAATACAGCCCAGGATGCTCTTTGCCTTCTCACATTCAGCTTCCTGTGTACCAAGACCTCAAGGTCCTTTTCAGCTCCCCAGTCAGCCTGTACCGCTGTAAGGGATTATTCCTTTCCAGGTGCATGACTTTGCATTTGTATCTTAAAAAGTAGTCCTTAAGAGCTGAACAGGTGATGTTAGAGCTACAGATATCTTCATGAGATTGATCTGAACCCCAGAACTCCTCTTCTTCTTCTCTAAGATTTGCATTGCATCACAGCAAAGATGACAAAGGCTGCTCTAGCATAGAACCTGATGCACTCCATGCCACTGGTAGTGCCTTCACAGGAAGTCAGGTCTTAGATAATCTAGTGGGTCATCAACAGAAGAACCACCTTGACCGAAGCAAGGGCTGAGCAGAACACCAGTGCACTGGGAAACAGCAAAAAGTAGGTATATAGCATAGGATTTGAAGTTCGGAGTTTTCTGCCACCATTAGGATCAGGCATTGTGCAGATATGCCTACGTTATCTGTTTCAGTGTGGTGTAGGTTTAAAGGACTGAACAAACTAACAGAGAGATGCAAGCAATGAGAAAGCACCCAAGACAAAGTGCACTTTGGCTGATTAGCAGGTATTAAATGCATGATATATGAGAAATGAGAAAACTAACCAGTCCCCCCTATGTTCTAGTGGGCACAAAAAGCCTTTGATTAGTTTTTTACTTTTGTTTTACTATTTAGAGTAAAAAGCTTAGGCATGAAAGATCTTGCATTGCAAGGGGAGAAGGTCCTGCTTAAACTGTAAAATGGGAAGAAAAAAACCAAAGGCACAGAAGAACAAAGCTGAGAAAAAGAAGTATCCTCTTGTCTAAGTATAGTGACAACTGAAAACACACAGCATACTTTCACCTACAAACCTGTACTGGCATAGTGTGAAACAAGAAATGGAAGATACTGCCATTGCAAAACGTCCAGTTTCAAATGGATGAATATACATCAGCAGTAAAAGCTGACAGGTCTCTTCTCACTCTAACAAAGAGCTGTGATTTCACCACAAGTTTTTAGACTGGCTACAACATAATACTTTATCTGTAGCTGAAGCTTTAACTATTAATAAACCTTCTCTAAAAAATCTGCAAAAAATGCCACTGAAAACTAGGTCATTTGTTTTGACCAAAAACATTGAGATTTAAAAACATATGTAAAATCCCTGCAAGCATTTGATTTATAAAGCATTTAACATACATTTTGAAATACTCACCTTCTAAAGCACATTTCTGGGCCTTTTTACTGACAGCTAACAGAGACAGCAGTGCATTTGTAGCAACTTCTTTCAGCCCATCCTTTGAAGACTTTCTTTCACAGACCTACAAATAATGCAATTTCATTACTAAAATGAAAAAGTGACCATATTAAAAGTAGTATTCATATCTACAAATATGTTGTCACAGTATATATTTTCATTTGGATGATTCATCACTATATTCCTATCCAGAGTTCTACCAATGTGTATTCATGTTTATAGTCTACCTGCATTGAAATGTTTCAATTTTTTTTTCTAATTAAAATAATGTGGTTTTTTTAAGATTTTTTTTTTTTTTTTTTTTTGCTCCTAAGCCCACTCCTCTTACTGTTTTCTTAACATTCTGCCTTCCTAAAGCCTAGATTCCTAGCCCCGGCATTCCAGACCTTTCTTAATATACAGGCTTGCTATCACAAACAATTCACTGACATGCCTTTAGTGCAATCTCACTTTCCTTCAACATAATGATGCAGAAGAGATATTAAGTATCAGTGAAATCCTTTAGAATAAAGATATCATTGAGACATGGATAACTTTTTTAGATACTGTTTCAACCAGAGAAAAATGCTAGTTTGTCTTATTTTTGCGAGGCCTTTGTGAGCACCACCATATTTCTAAACATAAACATAATCTCTGTGCTTTCAAAGGAACATTTATTTGTAGTCATATAACAAGACAGTTGAAAGATGAGGAGCTATTCATGCTTTGTATATTATCCACTAGAGAATTTTGTCCATCTAGCAATTTTCCCTAAAATATCATTCCAATATTGACATCCAATATAAGGAAAATGGTATGCATTGTAATCAGAAGAATATAGTAAATTAAGAACTGTGGCTGGATCATAATAGAAAGAAAAACATATTTTAAAATTAGTAAACAATATAGCATCTTAAGAAAAACTTAATACTTCAGAAAGAAATCTCATGAGTCCCTAGCCATAGGAACTCATAGATTTTACACCTCTGCATCACATATATCACCTTTCATTGGCTTTGATCTTCTAGCTAGCAATTGCCTAACAATTTTTTTCAAATTTTAATATGCAATAATATATCTATGTATGCTCTAGGATTACCATTTATTGAAGTGTTCAGTTTAACCAGGACTGAAAAGGTCAAGGGATGAAGACTAGTAGGTTAATAAATTGACAAAAAAAAATCTCATTGATAAAGGCAATTGACACTAAATTAAAGAAACAAAGCATGGACTAGGTTCTGCATTTATAGCTAACAAAAAACATTTCACATTTAGACTGCAACTGGTTTTATTAGATCCCAAGTGAAATCTCAAAGCTATCAGCAACATAAGAATGCTCTAAGTAGCTTTTTTTTCTCTAATTGGAAAACAAACCACCACCTATCAGTAAAGAATGTAGGTGTCCAAGTAGTCAAAAATATAAAAGGATTAAACTTGATGCTAATTTACACAAGCCAGGGAAACACAAAACATTGAGTTTCTTCAATCCTGCATAACCTAAATTGTAGATTTTGTAATTTATCCATTCACAGGCTTTTGCCCTATTAAATTGCTAGCTGTTTTTATTTTTTGTTAGTACTTAGGAATATTTTAATCATTAAAAACCATATTTCCCTGTCAATCTCTTGGGTATTTTCCTTTAATTAAGTATTATGTGGCTGATTAGAACTGACTAAATAATTCAAGTGAGTTGTTCTATATCTGTATCTATCTTTAAATAGTTTTAATTTCATCTTATTATTTTCTAATTTTTATCTTAAAAAGTAGCAAAATTTCATTCTTTCTTGAAGCATGTTGCTTTATGCATTTTTTTCCTTACGCCGTATTCAAGAATTGCAGTTTATGTCAATCATAGGGAACACGAAAATTATGGTAAATCTATCCGTAGATTTTATGTAATTAGGATGATTAATGAAGATGACTGATTGAAAAATTCTTTCTCACAGCCTTTTCTGTTAGTCAATTATTTGAGTGCTTCTCTTTAAGAAAGAAAGATCAAATTTAAATAATTTGGGTTGCTTTGGGTTTTTTGTTTGTTTGTTTCGTTATTTTAAAATTTTATTTTATTTTTTATTTTAATAGCTGACTTTACATCCTATGGGCTCCTCTTTCAACTGCGTCTCAATGACCACCATGGGGCAGGGTGGAAAAGTGCAAATAAATATATGTAATTTACTCTAAAAATGAATCTGTTTCTTTCCTATTTCTGTTATCTTTTTTTGGGGATCAGAGTAGCTGTATCCATTTCATGTATTATAAAGCCCCAGAGAACATAGGTTATCTTTTGAGCTCTTTTATGAAGAAAACGCAATGGCCATCTACAGCTCTGAACTGTCCATCTACAGCTCTGAAAGATAAAGTTAAAAGATGGTATCTCTTACAATACTCAAACTATGTCATAATATCTAATGTTATGTTAATGTTAATTGGCTTGGCTGCAGTTAACTCTTCATTGTATAGACGACTTCTGCTGTCATGATAAGAATCATCATTTTTTACTGGCAAAGATTGGTAATCAGCTATGTACACTTGTACAAAAATAGAGGAATGTGACTTACAACACCTTACAACACGCTTAATTCTTCATTTTGGTTCACAATTTCTACAAATACAGCTTATTAAGAACAACAATGCTGTCATTTACAATGGGAATAACTATGTCTTGAACTTTAAAAATCTCATTATATGCTTGGACAAGCAAGAAAAAAAGCATTATCAGTATCTGGCCAAACATTATCTATGTATCACCTTCTTCACATAAGATTTCATACCATGCTGTTGCAGCATAATTGCCTTCCAAGGCACTTCCGAGAAGCTGTTTCTTTGCAATTGTTCCATCTTATTACATGAACTTCAAAAATAAGTGTAATAGATTCTCAAATTAAAGATGTCTCGGTTAATAACTGGAAAAAATTGATTTTTCATTAGGTAACTACATTCCTTTTTAACAAAATACAAAAATGCAAAAATATATCCTGCAATCATAGCATCAAATTTTAAATACCTGAATAATTAATGCAGTAAGATGAGTTACTGATGCCTGGCATCCTTCAACGTGATCCAGAAGAAAGCTAATAGTTGGATTCTGATATATACTGTGTTTATCTTGGAGGTGTCTTCTTCCTTCCTCATTCAAAAGGACAGAGAAGAACTGTAAACTAGCCATATATAAAGTCGGATATGTGGTTGACAGATGAATACAATCACAAATAGTATCTGAAAGGTTAAACAGAAAAATTTTTTATATTTCATTCTGAAAAAAGCTCAAGTGTTTCAGAACTCAGAGAGACTTATAAAAGAAAGTGTGTGAGCCAAGAAGCAGTAATACCTGTGCACTGCACAAGGAATTCTACAAATTCTATATATCTGATAAGTCTTTAATAAGAAAAGCTTGAGTTATATAGGTTTGAATTAATAATGTCCTGGTTTCGCTAGGATAGAGTTAATTTTCTTCTTAGGAGCTGGAATAGTGCTGTGCTCTGGTTTCAGTATGGTATTTGTTATAAGAAGAATGCTGATAACACATTAATGTTTTTAGTTGTTGCTGGAAGTCCAGGGACTTCATGTTTTACTAGTCTGAAATTGCAAAGGACTGAGGCGGGGCAGGGGACAGGAGGAGGAGGAGGAGGAGGAGGAGGGAGCATAGTAATTAGCAAAATAATCCAAAATTGGCATTTGGATATGCTAATGAGATAGTCCATATCATAGAACATCATATTTAGTAATTAATGAGGATTGACCAGAAAGCAGTGGATTCTCTCAGGGATAACTTGGGCTTGCTTTTCTGGGAATGCAGTTTCAGGACTGTCTCTGCTCCAGGATCACTAGCTGGGGACAGGTTGGGCCATCAGTTAGCAGGTGGTGAGCAACTGCATTGTGCATCACTCATTTGCATATTCTATTATTACTATTATTGTTATTATTTTAAGTTTTATTTTATTTCAATTATTAAATTGTTTTTATCTCAACCCACGAGTCTCCTTACCCTTCTCTTTCCAATTCTCTCCCCTATTTCCTGGGGGCAGGGAGAGTGAGCAAGCAGCTGTGTCTGGCTGCTAGTCAAGTGAAACCACCACAATGAATAAACTGCTCTGTAATAATTTTACTATAAAACACAAAAAACTACTTCCATTTGCTATATCACTCATTTGTTTGATAATTTTATTAACTCTCCTCACTTTATTCAACAGCTTACATTATAATACCAACAGTATCCATTAGCTGCTTTATGGGCAATTGGATTTGGATTCATCAGATCACTTAATATGCAACTGGCTGAAATCACAAGCTTGAATTGACTATGCTCATACTTCAGTATGGAAACTTGTCAGACAATCTCGGTGACCAAGGTTGCTGAATAGCCAAGTAACTAATGAGACAATGATTTAAAAAACAAACAAAACCCTGTATAATAATCTTGAATTGCTATATCTCTTATTTCCCCTCAAAACTTTGCTTTCTTTTTATGCAAGATATTAAAAAAAGGAAAAAAAAAAAAAGCTCTAATGAATCATTTCAGGCTCTACTAAAAGGTTCCATATTTGATTAAGGTTTACAACTAGAATCACTAACCCATATATGCAAACAAAACTTGTGAATTTCTCTGGCAGGTCAAAAGTTAATCTGACGATACAAAAGAGTTATAAAAATCCAATTAAGGGAAAAAGTCAGTCAAGCTATTGACATACTTGGTTTTCATTTTGGATATGAATTGGTAATTACTCAATAGCATCTGAACAGGAATGCTCCTCTTTTCTATTTGTTTATTTATTTTATTAGTTGTTAGGTTAAAACCCATCTAGGAAGAGTTATTACCAATTACTGCTGTACAACGATTTGCAAGGGCTGCTGTCACAGATGGAAAAGATATTTGGCCAGTCTTCCACAACAATGTAGCTAGAAGGTTGAAAAAGTCTACCCATGTTTCATGAAGTACAGATGTTAACTCGGTATCTGCAAAGATAATACAGAAAAAAAAAATCAAACCATTTACATACATGCACAAACCTGGATAGCTAAGCCTGACAACAACTGTCAATCTAAATGAAGATGGTATGTAAATGAAGACCTGTCTCTTGTCTGGCTATACTGGAAACAAAGGACTTCATTACCTAACCCATCTTTGCAGCGAATGTCAAGAATCATGAAGGTATTTTCCAAGAGGGGTTTCAACAGTTCATCCTGGATTACAAGCTGAGAGTCCACCAATAAACATGATTTCAGAAGCCTGGACACAGATGACAAGTATTGAAGTAGTACTAATACCTGTTAAATATTTTTAAAAAGATATGAAATAGAGCCATATATTTGCCACTTCCACATATATATATATTTTTAAATATAAATACTCAACTGATTTATAACATTTTTAATTAATATACATCATTTAAAAGAAATAACAGAATATAAATTAAAAATTGTTGTCCTAATTTTTACTGTAGAAGATGAAACAGAATTTCTAGTCTGGAAACACATGTGTGAAATCAATCTTCTAATGATAAGGTATAAAGTTCCTTGTGAGAAAGTAATTACTCTTGTTACATGTATAGCATCATATTCTCTGGAAGCTCAGAAAAAACCCCATAAAAATGGTCATTAATATTGACAAATATATGTGTACTTCCTGAAAACAGAAGCTCAATTTGAAGCTTCAGGGGAAAAAATTATTCCTGACATATTTATTTATTTATTCTCACAAGATTTCTGCAGAAATGCATGTCCTTAATAACCTGTGTCTCTTTCTTTAAAGTAAATCTGAATGCAGAGAAGCAAAAGCTTTAATATGGTGTCGTGGCATGAACATAGTATGGTCTATATGTTATATATA